CTTGTAATTGGTGATTTCTTTTAGACTTTTCCACACTGATGCGGAGTCACTGGAAGATAATTTAATCCTTATTTTTTCTGAATAATTCCTCTTTGCCACTCTGATCTCCTTTTCCAGTGTGTATTTAGCCTGTTTATACAAGACATTATCCGCCTTCCTGTGTGCATCTTCTTTGGCCTGACGGAGCTGTCTGAGTTTTGCAGTGAACCATGGTTTGTCATTGTTGTAAGTTAGATGAGTCCTGGTAGGAATGCACATGTCTTCACAGAAACTGATATAAGATGTTACAGTCTCTGTGAGCTCGTCCAGATCGGTGGCAGCAGCTTCAAAAACGCTCCAATCAGTGGGGTCAAAACAAGCTGTTTTTAAACACATTTCATTACACCAAATACACAAAATAATGTTCTTTTTAGCAGCATCATATGACCCCTTTAAAAAATCAGTGTTCAAAACTGGGTTCTTCTCTTACCTCGATTCACTACATTAAGCCTACAATAATGTTTTATACTTTGAGAGTTCAGGTCAGATGGGAAATTTTACATTTATGTCATTCAAACTTGTACAGTTACATTTGTAAGCTAAATTAGACTATAGTTTTCTTTTTTTTTTCAGATACACATCTGTAGGATTTTTCTCACTAGAAGTGATCTTGGTGTGACTACTGCGATCCACTCTCTGACCATATGATGATCACAGGCAACCCTATACACATAGGCGGGGTATGTGTAAGGCTGGGGAAGGCTTAGAGAATATGAATAGACAATGTCGATTGCGGCATTAAATTAAGATCTGCTCATGTTGCACCGTATTTCATTTTAAGCGTTTTTAGAGTGTTGCGCATTTTAACCAATCACACACATATCTGTTGAGCTTAGGAATGCAATGGCTGATCAGAAGCATTCAGATGAGTCATCGTTCAAACTCATCAGTTTTGCTGAGTGCGCGCGCGTTCGCTGACTGAATTCCGGACTCATTACAATGTAATTAAGATATTCATTTAACAGTGTATAGAGCTTCAGTGATTATAACGATAGTTTAGTTTTTTTGAGAGTGCTTATGAATGATGCATTTATATAGCGCTTTATTGTGTATTGTTGTACACCCAAAGCGCTTTACAATCATGTGTGGCAGGGGTCTCACCTCAACCACCACCACTGTGCAGCATCCACCTGGATGATGCGACGGCAGCCACAGGACAACGGCGCCAGTGCGCTCACCACAGCACAGATGGAGAGGAGAGAGAGTCATAGAGCCAATCAAGTGGTTGGGGATTATTAGGAGGCCATGATTGACAAAGGCCAGG